AATCCAAAACAGTTCAGTGGAGCCTGAGTGGTGGGTGCTGCCTTCCGACACTCTTCGGGTGATGCCAGGGGGTGTGGCATATGCAAATAAGTTATGCTAATGAGCTCCTGGACCTCTTTTTCTGCGAAATGACCCCTGAATATAGCTGTGGTCAGGTTGTAGAATTCAAAACATTCCAGTTTATAATCTGTTTACTTGCAAAACTTCCAGTGTATCCTGGAGGGATGCAGCGTCTAGTCAATTAATCAGCGTTATTCATTGATTCAGAAAGCTTTTGATTGCAGTGGATCGGATCCAAAGATCCTTTTCTGTAAGAGAAGGCACACATTTCCTCCTCTGGCTCCCACTGCAGTCTGCCAAGCTCCCCAAGATGCTGCACTTGGGGCACTGGGGACCATTGGGAATAGCGAGGGTGGGGTGCAGAGCAGTGCTCCCTCTAAGCTGTGGAGTCATGTGAGCAAAAATCCTACTTTGCGAGCTACCGACATTAATGTTGTGAGCAAGCGGTTTGGCTACTGTATAAATTAGTTTGCTCTGGAGCCCTCCTTCCTGAGCTAAGGCAAAAATATGTGAGCTGGAGGCTAAAAACCTGTGAGCTAACTCACACTAACTCAGCTTAGAGGGAACACTGGTGTAGAGATGTTACATTTCCAGAAATTTTGAAGCCATTTGGGGGGGGGGGAATATTGGGGGAAATGTACATATCTGCAGTTGTTACTTTCCTGTCAAACATAAACTTATTATATATATAATATCTACCTATCTATTAACAAAATGCCTCATTTATACGTTAGTGTATAGAATTGTACTATTTGGCATAGTTGCACAATTCAAAAGTATAAATGTCCTGATTTTCGGAAAGAAAAACTGCAAATACATCCAGCATTCAAGACCGAGTTGCAAGCTGCTGCATCTCTGCTACTTTAGCTTATGCATCTTAGAGAAAGAGAAGGAAACAGCTGAAGGTAATGAATAAAAGAAAGTGTATTATTGGGACGGAAATGCTGTCATACGAGTCACAAGTGGCCGGATTACCTCTGTATTTGGATATCAAACTGTAAGACTGAAAACACTGATGTGTTTCGTAATATATTATCCTTAAACACACTACAGTATCTAAGTTGTAGCTCAAATCAATTACATTTAAACAAAGAATATTCTTGAAAATGTTGTATATGTCTACAGTATGAATCGGAATTATCAATATACAATGCTGTAGTGACGTTTCCTTGAACTGGATGACAGACCTTTTCTTTGGTAGATTTTGTCTACTGTATACAAGGAGAGTATAATTCTGCACTTCCGGTGATTTATGTAATATGTACATGGCACTGATAAAGCACTTTTTGATATGCAGAACCTCTTTACATTTTCCGAGGTGTTCGTATATTTGTCATTTTACCGGTGGGGAAGGATGGATAGCGGAATAATTTGATCAAATATGGCTGACCAGAGCATTATTATTAGCAATACTGGCAATGTTTTGGGATGTCTGGCTTCGTTATTCTTAATCCTTTTTGAGCTCCTAATACAGCTAATAGGGCACCCCAAACTTTAAACGTGTAGTTTTGAAATGTTGCTGTTTTCCCTTTCAGTTTCATAAATTCGGGTTTTCGATTAGACTGATAAAGGTTTTCCTTCAAAAAGGCCAGAGCAGTTGCCCTGACCTGGATAGCCCAGGCAAGCCAGATCTTGGAAGCTAAGCAGGGTCGACTCTGGCGAGTTCTTGGATGGGAGACCTCCTTGGAATACCAGAGGTGGGAGGCGGGGGCAGGCTTTATTCAGCCACCTCTCTGAATATCCTCCAGGCCCCCAGTACGGGTCAGTCATCAGAGATTGCCATGACTTCCAGGTGCACGCACACTCACACGCACACACATGCACATATTAAAAATACAAAAACAAAAAAGCCAGAGCAGTTTAAATTGAAATTTCCCCCTCCGTCTCCTTCCCCAGCAGTCTTCCCATCCAGGTGTTGACTTAAATCTGGTTTACATATGCAACAAGACCAGGTGGTAGAATGGACTTTTGCCCCTTCAGATTGCAGGTGGAGGATTCTGGAATGTCCCCCTTGGTTGAAAATTTCCCTGTAAATGCAAAGTCGGGGGGGGGGGGACAAAAACTTTCTCCCTGCTGTGCTATTTTTCTCTTTATGGGGAGTTGTTGTTTTAAGTGCAAGAAGGCATTTAGAACTAGACTCCACCACTGGCGTGTGAAGAGATTGCCGTCTGTTCTACCCCCTCATTCCCTTGCTGTGTGTAAACCAGGCCTTGGCTGAGACCAGTTCATCTTTAGCAGTAGAACGTCACCATCTGCTGGGCTTGTATTTATAATGTTCATGTTTTATTTTTAAGTCATTTAAACAGGGTGTGCAACATCTCAGTAAATATCAGTCATGAGAGACGTATTTGCCCACTGATTTTGTGGGAGGGGAGCAACAGAGAAAGGATATTGGGAATAAGTGTAGTGTCACGGGAGCTCTGCTGCAAAAATAGCATGTTATATAAAAGGGCGGCATCATGAAAAATGTTGTTGCAGTGTGACGTTACTTTTCATAACCCTTAATTTGGTGGTTACCAAGATGGGGCTTAACTTACCAAGCTGGTCTTCTCTTTTGCTGCTACCAGAATGGAGCCGTTTTCCCCAAGATCAAAGGGAGTAAGACGGGACAAGACAGCAGCCGATGGGTAAGGTCTTTTCCTCGAATGTGCTTTGAAATTCTTTTTGGTTCTGAATGTCTCCAACATACTGCATGACTCCAGGCTCAAGAAGAGGGTTCCGTCAGCGGGCTTGGCGAAGGAGGTTTCCTCAGGCGGTGGGAGGTTTGGATCCAAGCCAGAAAGTCCATTTGATGGACCATTTGGTGCTGTAAGAGTTTAGGTGAGAAGTGAAATGTACTTAGAGAGTGAGGGAGGGAGGTGGGGTGTCTCTACTCGTTTGCTGCTCTTTGCCGCTCTTTGCTTATTGTGCGGGAGCGTGTGTGCAGTCCAGGATCTGTTAAGCTAACAGTGGAACCTTCCTCTGGAGGAAAACTCCTGAGACTGGAGAAAGGCTCCATGCTTCTCTTAGCACAATAGAAAGACACCTTCCTGGTTCTGTGCATCTACATAAGAACATAAGAGACGCCAGTGTTGGATCAGGCCAGTGGCCCATGCAGTCCAACACTCTATCACACAGTGGCCAAAAATACCAGGTGCCATCAGGAGGTCCACCAGTGGGGCCAGGACTCTAGAAGCCCTCCCACTGTCGCCACCCTCACTCCCCCAAGCACCAAGAATACAGTGCATCACCTGCCTCAGACCGACAGTTCCTGTCTGTACCTTGTGGCTCCAAATATTTCAACAAAGGACCCAGCAACAAGATATCAGTACAAAATTAACATATTGCTGAACAAGTTCTTTATACTTTAACAGTATATTCAAAGTTGATATTTTTTATTCCAGTGGAAATATGTCAGTTTCTGGTCTTTTCTATTCAAGATTTACTATCCGGAAGAAAAATTTTGTGAATGAGGGAGCTTTGAATAGCCATTCTTGAAATGTTGACACTTATTGTTGGAATTTTTGGAAACTCTGAATAGAAAAGACCAGAAACTGACATCTGACGAAGACAAAGGTCGAAACGAACAGTCAGCTCGAGAAAGTTCGTACTTGTACTTGTTGCATGGGGACCTCGGTCTCTTCATGAAGTTTTTCCACTGGAATAAAAAATATCAACTTTGAATATACTGTTAAAGTATAAAGAACTTGTTCAGCGAGGGGTGTCCTTGAGTTTGTGAAGCCAGGCTGAGTCTGTGGATGCGTGAGGGCCAGAAAGAAGATTGTGAGAATTGCTGAATACGTTAGATATGGCCGGATGGGGAATTAGATGCGGTGGCTCAAGTGGTTAAGACGCTGAACTGCAGGCTGTGGAAGGTCAGTAGTTCAGCAGTTCAAGACCCGGGTGCCGCAAGACGGGGTGAGCTCCCGTCTCTAGTTCCAGCTCCTGCCAACCTAGCAGTTCGAAAGCAAGAAATTGCAAGTAGATAAATAGGTACCACTTCGGTGGGAAGGTAATAGCATTCCATGCGCCTTGGTGTTTAGTCATGCCGGCCACATGACCACGGAAACGTCTTCGGACAGCGCTGGCTCTTCGGCTTTGAAACGGAGATGAGCACCGCAACCCTAGAGTCGGATTCGACTGGCTTTCGAGCAAGGGAACCTTTACCTTTACTTTAAATATGATAAGTGCTTTAGCAGAGAGTGTGCAAAGAGGGAGGCGTATAAGATCAAATCACTAGGTGTCCCGCTCCGAGGGTCGCGGACCTCGCGGCCCACGAGCAACAGACCCCCGAACCCACGACATCCCGGGAAGAGTCGTCGCAACCCGGCTTACCAGAAAGAGCCCGTCCCGAGGAGGCAGAGCGGCCCAGCTGTCCGGCAGGAAAGGTGGAAGGCGTGGTATCGTCCACAACACCCAGCCCTGGCCGCGCCAGACAACGGGACCGGGGTTCACCGTTCCGTGACGGCGTGCAGGGGCGGGACGGTGTGGCGCGCGGTCTGGGGGCTCTCCCTGGGAGGCAGGAACAGCAGCATGTGGACAGAGGGGAGGGCCGCTCAGGGGTGCTCTTAACCCCTTCCCCTGCCGTTCTGAGGCCCTTCTCTACCCCCCTTTGTGGAGACCTCTCCCGCCTCCGGGACCACCCGTCTAGCCGAAGCTTGACGCTTCTCCCGGCACTACGGCCACTGGAGGCGCCACTCCACGGACCAAGGGGGAGCATGACACTAGGCCAGTAGCTTTGGAAACTTGCATGACTTGGTCTGTACAAACACTTTGTGGAAAATTTTGAAAACCTACATTTTATAACATGGGAGAAGACAAAAAGCAGGGACCC